ATGGCTGCAAGAGGGACTTTCATATCCATTTAAAAAGGAGGGCATTCATCAGTATACCTCAAGAGCCTGTGCAGCAATTAATGAAGCATGGGAATAAAAGTATTACTCATTCATGTGCAGTCAATGGACTCTGACATGACTGGAATTACAGAGACGTAGTGGGTACTATATACAGTTGCAGTTCAGTGCTGGATAAGTGCAGTCTGTTTAGGAAGGAATAAGAGGCAAGAAATAAGAGGTCCCCTCCTCTTTTTGAGTGGTCTTCTATATATAGTAGACTAGCGCTGCAACAGGTCACCAAGAGAGGTTGTGGAATCTCCTTCTCCGGAGATCTTCAAAACCTGCTTGGATGCCACCCTGTGCCATATGCTGACCCTGCGTGTGCAGGGGGTTGGACTAGATGATCTCTAGAGGTCCCTTCCAGCCTTAAGGCTTCTATGATTCTATGACTTCTGATCAGGGGACCTCTAATTTCAACAGAGACATGCAGCTGTCCTGCATAAGCTGAAGACACATGTTTGGATGCTTCAGTGGCTGTGAGGTCTGCGTAAACCTAGACATGCAGCAGACTTTGTGGCTACTGGAATACAGGCTCATTGAAATGCTTTGGCTTGGGTGCATAAAATAGTCTTAGTCCGTTCATGCGTGTGAAAGGCTGAACCTCTGGATTTTTTTCAAGACATTTTAATATTCATGTACTTTACTGCTTAAACCACACAGTTCTTTTGTTACTCTGTCAGATAACTTATATATGTATACACATATTTGCGCTAAGACATAATGTATTGTACTTATTTATTACATTTATGTGGGAAAACAGATACTATTTTCCAAAATACTCATGTTATATACAGTTCCATTAAAAAAAAAAAAAACGTAAAACAAAGAATTTTGTCAAGAAACATAATGCTTATAATATACATATTGTATACGTTTCCTCCTTGTCATTTGAAGTTAAAGTATATGCTGTGTCTCTGTGTGGAAGTTAGTCTGTCACTGATACACTAACTGCTAAGATCTCAACCCAATTTTCACTTTGCTTATAACCAAGGAGCGTTTGCATTTAAACTAAGTTAGATTTTTTTTTAAAGCCATTAATAAATTTTCAGAATACTTATTGTTTTACAGGGAAAAGTCATCCCAATGACATGCAAAATAAACAACAGAATTATTAAGAACAAAATTTTATTTGCTCAGTGTCTACCTCATGTATTATTAGAATGTATTAGCCATTGTCACTCATTCTGACATTTTTCCTTGTTTATAGGTGACTATCAATAAAAATATAGAGACACTAATACCAAAAGCTGCTACAGGAACAGCTGTAGCTTTAATGTATTTTATGCAAATCTTAAGTGATGACCAAAACCTATTAAATCTATTAATGCCTCCTGAACTACTCAAGATTTTATTCTTGCTACTTGAGGGGGATGTTGGAATTCTTAGGGACT